CAAATAATCCCTAAAGAAACCCATTGTATAACTCTTGTTTGTGAACCCTGGGTTTCATGATGCATGGGCCCAGAACCATGGATTCTGGCACCAGGCCACAGCAGACAAGAATGGTTAAAACTAACAGGCATCAGCCACAGTACTGGAAGGGAACTCCAGTGATGGAATAAGCACCCCCTGTTACAGTTAAGCTGTTCACTGGAATGAGACTGTGCCAGAATCCTGCTAATGCAACTTTAAAGGATTTAGCCCCCTTATGCCACAATTTTACCATCCCTGAAAAGTCATACTGAGTAACCATCATGGAACTATGAAGACAAAAACATTTAATTATTACATGTCTCTCTGTCATAAAATAAACTGGGGCACTCCTGGCCTACATAAAGAACTGTAAAAGGGAGGAAAACTAAATGAGTGGGAGCATTATTTGGCATAAACACGAAATATCTACAGATGGTCCTTATCAGCTCAGCCTTCTCCAAGCTGGTGCCTTCCAGATGTGATACAGTATAATGCCCATCATCCCTAGTTAGCATGGCCAATGGTCAAGTATGCTGGGGGTCGTACTTTGAAGCATCTGGAGCTCATCAGGTTAGGCAATGCTTCAGTTGATCCACACTGGCCATTTCCCTTGACGCAGACATTCTCCATTTCCTCTTGCCTCACACTGAACCCTCAAGACAACCTTGTGCATTCTCTGGTTTAAGCACACACAACAATATGCTTTCCTCCTGTAAAGCCTTCCTGGCAAAGTGCTACTAGCACGCCTTGACAAAGCAAACAGGAAAAGCATCCCAACCAAAAAACCCAAAGCAGTAGATAAACTGGATGAATAAATATAATGTTCACGATCTGGTACAGTCACTTCATCTCGTAAACTACAGAACAGAGAATATAAAATATTCAGAGAACAGAAGTCAAGATTGTGTTGTAATGCCAAATGTAGCCCATATCAACAGTGACTAAATGTGTTTCAATCTGTGGACTTCTTCAGTGGTTTACTTCTGTTCCACTAATAGGATTGTGGTGGTGAACTCAATCGCTTAAAACGGGTTCATCACCATGGAGCACCATGGATAGCTCCTATAAAGATGAAAAGAAAAGTTGCAACAGATGAAAAGCCCCAGTGACAAAGAAGTCACCAGGTTCCCCTGGCATTATCTGCATTGGCAGATTGCAGCTCTCTCGGGTTACAGGCAGAAGCCTTTCCTCTCCTCACTGGAATGAACTCCGAATTCTGAACATAGGACTTTCTGCATGAGGACCGCGTGCCTTCTGCACTGGGCTATGGCTAATCTCATGGGCCATGTTGCAAACTCATCTTTAAAAGGAAGGAGAAATGAATTTATCAATGGCTAGGAAACTGAAAGCAAAAAAAGGGGAGCCTCAAATACAAGCAGATCAATGTGAGTAGATTACTATTCTATAAAGGAAGTTACAACCTTGAGTTTACAAGATCTGAGCAGGACTATCAAGGACAGAACATGGTGGAGGACTTTCATAGGGTCACAGTAAGTCAACGGAATGTAACAGCAGCAATTTAATCTCAATCCACCGCTTGGTTATTTCTGGGTGATTCCCCTTCATTTCAATAGAACATACTTCACACAGGCACAAATGTGTAGGATTACAGCCTCTGATAAACACTGGCCTGATCTGGTTGTGTGGTTCCTCTATTCAACAAAGTCAACAGGGCTGTGTGAAAGTAAACAGCACAGTTAAGGCGGATCTGAGCAGAATTTGCTCTACTGAAATGCTGTATTACAAAATGAATGTCTTGAGACAGGGCAGCATGACAGATGTGGGGTTCTCCATAGTAAGCCACCAAGCCAGCAATGAAACCCCCATTCCTCCATCTTCCCCACTGTATGGAATTTACTCTTGCTAATCCAACATTTACAAAATTAACTCTGTGTAGAAAAGAATCTTATAAGACAGTAACTTGCCAAAACCATATAGAGCCAATAGAAAACTTTTCTCTTCCTTACACTACTGAGACAAATACTGGGAATCTGGATCCATGTATTCTTGCTCAATACGCAGGAATCATGGTGGGATCCCAGCTGACTGGCAGTCCCCCATCGATCCCACCACCGGCCAAAGAACCCTATCAGCACCCATGTTGTTAGTCTGGTACATGTCATGCTGCGGCTTAGAGGAAATGAACTGAAAATAAGACTGCCAGTTATCATAAACCATGAAAACAAACTGTGATGTGACTGCACCAAAAATACTGTGTGCACTTCTGGTCACCACACCTCCAAAAGGCTATTTCAGAGACGGACAAAGTGCAGAAAAGATAAATACTGATTAGGAATTCCTGGGCTGAGCACATGCTCAGAATTACCCCCTTTCTTCATTCATATCGTGTGCCCCCCACCTGACCTACTCACTTTGCACCTGGCTGGTGGGCTCTACTAAAGAGATGACGCTCCCAGAGCCCGAAGTCTGTTCACTCCTAGCATGAAACATTCATCTTAATAGCAGGTGTAATAACGGTTACTATGGATCTGAGTTTTTGTCAGCATCAACGCAGATCAAAGCCACTGACTAGCATTCTATGGCCCTTTAGCACATCCTTCGCCAACCTAGTACTCTCCAAAGAAGTTGAGCTACAATTCCAATAACCCCAACCATAGCAAGAAAAGAATCCAGGATGGGACTAGGCAGAAAAAGGAGCAGGCTGAATTATCAGTGGTTGTGGGGCACAGAGGAACAATGGGCACAGTTTAACTCCCTCCAACAATGGTGTCCTTAAGTGCACCTCTTGACTTTTGCCCTGCAAGTCAACAGTTTGCCTATCTAGTAATCCCACTGAAGGACACTCTGGCTATGACAGCACAAAACTAGCCCTCTACCCCTAGTGGTAGGTAGCTCAGGCTGGGATGCCACAGGTGAGGTGCAGCACTAACCATGCCCCAGCTGGTTTTGCAGTAAGGAAGCCCTCCATTTCTCCATCAGTGGTAACAATGGGCATTTTGCTGGTAGTTATATCATTTTCACTGGACTGGGGCAGGGAGAACGTTCCTTTTGGTTCTCGGTCTCAAGAACTCTTTAATCTCTCCCTTACTCATTCTAGGAAATAATTGTTCATCCAACAATAGTAAGGAAACAGACACTCTAGCAGTTAAGAAGGAATGGCCAACTGGCAGTGCATGGACCAAATTCAGGCCATGAAGCATTTTTTCCTAGCCAATCAGACTGAACTGCTGAAGATCACTGATATGAAAAAGGAAATAACTTTCCAAGTTCAGAGAGACAGACAACGGCATGCTTCACTGCTACTCTCTTCCAGCATTGTCCTTCAATGAGTACTTCATGACTTACAAATCCTGGCGGACTTACATAGCTGAGCTAATACAACGCAGGAGTGCAGAACATCAGGTTCAGGGGTCAAATTCAGCCCTCCCGGAGCTCCACTGGCTTGGCCTTCGGCTCTCCCAGAGAGCCATGCCCCCTCTTCCTGGCCCCATCCTCTTTCTCAGCTACTAGCTGGTCAGTGGTCTCCCCACTTTTGTGCACTTTTCCCCCATTGAAAAGGTTGGTCCCTGAGGTTTACTTATTGGCAGTAAGAGCTTTATGCTAAAAATGTCCTCATACGCTTGCTGGCCTCCCCATTTGCCTGGCCCACAAGTAGTGTGCAGCCCCTGGGAGCCTCTCTGAAACAGAATTTGGTCCTCAGACTAAAAGGGCTTCCCACCCGATAAGGTCTGAATGCTGAAGAAGGGTGCGAGTTATGCAGCAAAACACACTTTCAGGCTAGGAAGGCCATCATCTGGAGAAAGGAAAATGTGGAAATAGGCTACCCCATGACCAGCAGTGCTTCATCCCCAAATCAATCCTATGTAAAGAGAGGGGAAGCAAATTGAACTGATTCCAGTTTTGCCTGCCAATGCCCAGTATGGTGATTCTACTTGCAAGAATCTGTTGAATAACATGCAAGCTGATCCTATGCAGGCTTAATCAGAAGTTCCACTGAATTCAATCATTTCAGGCATTTATATACACAGAACGTCAGCCTTCAGCCTGTGTTGTTTAGGACTTGCAGCAATCCTAAGTGCTCTAAATTTGGAGCAAGACCCACAACACAGTGGATCTTCTTGATAAAGATGCAAAGGATTATCCTGTCAGACAGAACCCAGTTCCCTCCCAGCCAGCAATTGGTGTGGTGTTTTTTTGATATGGCTCTAAAGAAAAGGTCTTCCAAGAGAAGTTTCAAAAGGAGTGAAACAGGGCCAGGTGAAAAGAGCAATGGAGGTGATAGGAAAAGAGAGACGGGAGAGACCAGTGGTTTTCCAACTGTATGCAACTGAACCATTCTTATGGATCAGCAAAGGGTTCCCTGAAAGACGATGGACCATCGCTTCTCAAGACAAAGTGTGTGGTGAGTTCCAGGACATACACTAAGCTCAGACTGGAAACTGGGGAGAACAGTGTGCCCTTTAGGATATACCTAGAGTTGTGAGTGAAGTATGGGAGGTGGGGAGGGGAAGGCAAAGTGTAGTAGCAAAGTGCGAAATTGGTTCTTTCAAGATACAAAAAAGTGACAGTCACCTTCTCTATGGATTCTTGCCACATTGTCTCATCATTCACTTCCACTAACCTCATAGGCACAGGATAAAAAGCAAATATTTGACACGTATTGTCTATAATTCTAAGACATCCTCCTTTTCCTCCTCCCTCTTAAAGTGCCCATTGGGTGGAATCTTTAACCTAAGACTGGAAAGCATACTTATTGAAGGATGCAGCGCCCCAGATCACTGGGTGGGGGAGAAAGTCAGTCGCAGCCACCCTGCAAAGGGGCTGCTGAATCCAACCCACTTCCTTTCTCCACAGCTGATCCGGAAGCCCTTCCCCTACGAAAGAGAGCGGTCGCAAGCGGGCCTGGCAGCCAAGCGAGGCCTAGGCAGGCTTGAACGGCAATGCGGCTACAACATGCAAAGGGGGCGGGCTGTAGCCCCCGCGGGGGTGAAGGGCAGGCGGCGGGCGCGACGTCGTCGCTACCTGCAGCCGCACGTCTCCACCACCATGTCCTCGTATTGTTTGTAAACCACGTTGTTGCCGGAGTCTATGTAGAGGATGCTGATGGGGCTGAGCTTGGACGGGACGCAGCAGCTCGGCGGGGTGGACTCGGGGTCCATGGAGTTCATGAGCGTCTGGATGATGGCATGGTTGGTGGGCTCCAGGTGGGAGCGCAGCGGGAAGTCGCACACGCCGTCGCAGTGGTACGCCTCGTAATCCAGGGGCGCGATGATCCAGTCGTCCCAGCCCAGCTCCTTGAAGTTGACGTGCAGGGCTTTGCGGCTGCAGCGGCTCTTGGCCTTCTTGCCCTGGCTGCGGCCCCCAGAGGCCCGGCCTGCCAGTGTAGTCCGCCGCCGCCTCCGCCGCCTCCGCCTCCGCCGCTGCTTGTCCAGGGGCTCCGGGGCGGCAGGGTCGGGCGGCTGCGGCAAGACGCCGGGCCCCGCACTCAAGGCCTTGATCTTCTCGCGGATCTCCTTGAAGAGGTTCTCCTTCCGCTTGGTGCGAGAAAACACCACCAGCAGGGCTCTCTCGCGCGGCGGCGGCGGCGGCTGCTGCGGGAGGCGCTCCCTGCGGAAACCCAGCTGCGCGGGGGACAAGAGCCTTCCCGTGCGATCGGAGACGATGCGCAGGAGGAAGCAAAGTGCGTGGGGCTGCCCGCCTTTCTGCGCCCTGCGCCTCAGAGCCGCCCAGACGTCGAACACCTCCCACCTGGGCGAAGAGAGGTCGCCAGCGCCGGAGTCCAGGAGGTCTCCGGCGCGGGAGTCCAGGAGCTCCGGCTCCCGGCCTTCTTGGCTGGCGCACGTGGAGAGCAGCAGGCGGTGGAGGAGCCCTTCCGAGGACAAGGCCAAGCTCCTGTTTTCGGGCGACTTCCGCAGGATCCGCAGCTCGGCGCCCACCACTTCGTCCACCTCTGGCAGGCTGGAGATATCGAAGAGGTACTGCTGCCCGGCCTCCAAGGCAAAGTCATCTGAAAAAGATCGGAAGGGCGGAAGAAGTTCGTGTGAGAGGCGAGGTGGCGGGAGCGGCGCCCTGGCAGCTGCGCCCCAGGAGCAGCGGCGCCTCCGTGGCAGCTTACCCCATGGGTCTCGGCCGCTCCCGCTGCCTTTCTACCTGCAGCGCAAGCTGCTTACCCCGTCTGGGAACGCCGAAAAGCATCGACAGGATCGCTCAGTGCCCAGCTGCCAGTGTCATTTGCACAGGGCCGCACGGGCTGCCTAAGTCCTGGAAAGTGTGAAGGTGCCGTAAAAATGAGTGCTCTTGAGCGTGTACAGACGGCCGTCTCTGCACCACAGAGCAAAGGCAGCTAGGGCTGGGAAGGAGGAAGAGAAGAGCCTTCCAGTCCTGAGCGATTTGTTTATTTTTAAAGCAATTTTGAGGCTGCAACCGGGGTCATTTTGTTGATTATGCTCTGGAGAGTTTCCTTTTCAGTGGACCAGCTTGGAACCCTTCTCCCCGCCGCCCCCGCCGCCTGCCCTGCCTTGCATTAGGGAGGGAGACAACCAAGAAACTGCGAAGGATCTTTTACACTAACCATCTGTATTTATTTCTTAGCCCTTGAATGGAGCAGGTTCTGGAGGATTGTTTCATGCCTTTCTTCCCACCCTCCCCGTTCAATGCTCCATGCTCCGAGCCAAGTTAAACATTTTTCCAATCTGTCAAGGATCATTTTGCTCACGTGTGCGCGCTCATCTATATTCTTGGGGGGCGGGCTGGGGGGCGGGGCGAGTGAGTCTCCTTTGATGGTTGTCGAATCCCTTGTAGGGATGATTAACCCTTGCCAGCCCGCTTACGTTCCGGGCCAGGTACCGACTTTTCCTGGGATTAATTAAACCAGTCAGATGTGACGTAGACAAATAAACAAAATTAAGCTAAAATAAATAAAAGCGAGGCGGAGAAGTACAAAAAAGGACGGACAATTACAAACCTTGATTGTTAAATGCGACTTCCTAAACAGAATAGCATAACACTTCGCTCTCACACAAGGTCCCCCCCGCCCCGCCGCGGCCGCACGCATGCACGCACGCGCGCTGGGTAAAATGACTCATCGCTCACCGAAGGGCAGTCTTCGGCCCATCTACTCGGAAGTAAGCCCCACTGAAGCCAACGGGGCCACCTCGGGAAACTTTAGAGGAGTGCACTCAGGATCCCAATCCTATTTATATAGTCGAGTTCAGGTGGACACCCTCAAAAGAGGGAAGAGATGCTCCTACTCATGACTGTTCTTCCATTGAAAAGGGTTCCCTTTCGGCCGGATCGAGCCCAGGGATTTCGCCCGAACCTGCTTCAGGGGAGCGAAAGACCTCCCTCTGCGAGACTCCTTCCGGGTGGTCTCAGGTTTTCCAGACTCCTGTTGGCCACCCAATCGTTTTTCGCTGATTTAAAACAACATTTATTATACTTCTATCTTGCCTGCTTTTTACTCTCTTTCGAGGAGCCCCGGGCAGTTTTACATCCCCCCCCCCCATTTTATTCTCCCAACAACCCTGTCAGGTGTGCTCGGCTAAGAGTCAGTGCCTGGCTCAAACACGCCCGGCGCGCTTCATGGCCAAGAGCGACCAGGATCCGGGCCTGTCTTGTCCTCTCTTCCTTGCTCTTCCAAAGCAACTTTGCTCGGGTTTGACCTGAGAGAGAACAGGCAATGGTTAGCACCTGCCGCGAAGATTCCCTAGTGGAAGCTTCTTCCGATGCAATGCGGGTGGGGCAGCTTCTGACATCTGTGATCAAAAAGCCACTCTGTACGTGCTCACACCCGTCTTGATGTATAGCTGGGATTTTCCCCAGTTGAGCTCTAGCTCAAATGAAACGGCTACGCGGAGAGAAGGCCATCTTTGCGATCGGAAACGCCTTCTCATGCCGTATGGCATTGGCTTCTTCCCGTGCAAGCCTCTAAACACCTCCTTCCGATTTTTCCTCTCTAGGATAGCCACTAACTGCTTACACCGCGGACACTGGGATTGTTTTCGGGGTATCTTTTTGTTTGTGAGTGTTGAGGGGAGCTTGGGGGGGTCTCTTTTTGTTTCTGATTGCATGTTTGCTCTTCTCTTGGATCAAGTGCAAAACATCCCAAGAGGAACAAGGTAAAGGGCGGCGGCGGCGGCGGCGGCGGCACAGAGTCCTTTGAAGGGCTCAACTAATTTCCGTTTGCTCGGAAACTCCCGGACACGATGCCTACCCGGGCGGGCGGGCGTCTCAGGGCCCCGTGCGCACCCTCGAGCCTCCGTCCCCAGAGGACAGCGGGCAGCCGGATCCATCACGCCTTCCTAGTGGAAGGCTCGGTGGTTTCAGCACCCCTGAGGACCGGGCTACCACTTCTTCAGGAGTAACAAATCCGTTTTCCTTTTCGAAGATGTTCTATTATTGCTACCCTGAAGCTAGCAATAGCCAAAATCTCCTAGGGTTCCGTGATTTGAGGAAGAGACCGACGCACCCGCTTAACCTCGTTGAATCCGTGAGATTCAGCTTGAAGGGAATAACTTTTTCTGCCTGCAAACAGGCCGAGAGATGCACGCACGCACACCGCGCGCCCCTGGGTGTTTTGCACGCGCAATTCGACTCCCGCCGTCGAAGTACAAAGAGAACGACATCTCTGGGTGTACCTTCCAGGAGAGAAAAAAGGAGAAAATGAACTGGTTCTTGAGATATTTGGAAAGGGCTTGGCCCCCAGCCATACTACACGTTTGCTCGGCTGGCAAGAGCTAAGAATTGCTCTACTAGAAGCGCCATCTTGGGCAGTGAAAAAGTCCTCCAACTCCCAGCATGCCCCAGCCAAGACATTTTTTCCTTGAGTCAACATGCTATAGGATGGCACCCTAGATCAATTAATTCAAAACAGCAGATGCGAGCCACTTTTAACAGGCGTTCTCTATTTATCCATTCCTTGAACGGCCGACCGTCTCGAATGCGGGAGTTCCCAACCCCGCAGGTTCCCTCTTGGGAGAGTCGCAGAAGGGGGCGCTTGTGCTACGAAGGTGCCATCTGCGGGCACGCCTGCCTGCATTTCCGAAAAAGAAAGTTTGCTCTCCCGCCTGCCCTCTCCCCGTCACTTGTAGCACCCTCTTCGGCAGAAGTCCTTTTCCTTCCTATGCAGATCAAGGCGCGTTTAATCGATAGGTTAAACACGCGACGAGGGGTCTGCTCAGGGTACTCACAGGGGGACCTCCTCCCAGCTAAAGTGCAGGCCAAAACTCCGGCGAATCAAACCGTATTCACTGGGGTCCCCGCACCACCGCTTCCACTAGAAGATCTGGGGAATAAATCAGAGCGACTCCCTTGACTTGAATCAGGCGCAACTGGAACATTTCAGCCGCCCCGTCCCCAGCTTGGCGGCCAGACTCTTGCATCCTTTCTCATGGAAAAGTCTGTCCTTTCCGATGTGTCGACTAATAGGATCCTCAGGTTGGTGCGACACGAACCATACACCCGCACAGACGGTAAGCTGCATGGATCTCAGCAACGCGCGGCAGCAATAATTGGTGGAATGGGTTCACTTTCTTATTTTTACCCCTAGATGAGTTTTGTGGACAAAAATACAGAAAAACGTGAATACTTTGCGCAGGGGTTGATCGCACATATTCCTGGCACTAGAGTTCCGGGGACGGTAGGATTGGACAGAGAGTGCGGCACCGTGGCCGGAGTGTTGACCGGGGCGCCGAGTTCTGCTCCCGGCATGGCTATGAAGCTCAGTGCTTGGCCCACCTCACAGGGTTGTTGTAAAGATGAAACGGGAGGGGGGATTATGTAAGCCGCCTCGAGGTTCTTGCCAAGGGTAAACAGTCGGATGCGAATATAATAGTGAAATCATATTAACCAAATAATTACCCGCAAGCGTTCTTGGTTGTTGCAGGAAACGACAACGCTGTGGTGTGAATGTTGGGCAGCAACCTGCACCATTTCTGCACAACTCAAGCTGCTGTGCCCCTTGCTCTGGCGGTTTCTCAGTCCGCACCCAACCCCATTCCTTACGCCAGTCTGAGCAGGCGTTTGGGTTTGCGGATATCCGTTCGGCCACTCGGCCCCCGGAGCCCCGCTGTTCCGATGCCAGTTCGCGCGCGCACGGGAGCCGGGGAAGCCGCTTTCCCTCCCCGGGCGGACCGTCGTCTGGAGGGAAGGAAAAAGCGCACCATCGGTGGAAAACAGCAGAAGCGACCAGAAGGCAGCCGCGCTGGCTGAGTTCGTTCCCAGTTTTAGTTGGGCTGGGATCCAGCTTTGCTTTTCCTTCCCTGGGGAACCTTTTTTTCTTTTTAAAGCACCTGATCGTTCCGTCTTTCCAGAACCTCGCTGCTCTGTGCAAACGGTTTAAAGCCGTCCCCAGAGCGGCGGTTTTCCTTACGCTACGGGGAAAGGGGGGCGATTCGGGAGCGCCTTCGCCACAGTTTCGATTGAATGGAAACCTGCAACCTCCTCTCCCCGCTGGCGACGCGCTCCTTCGCATACTCCTTCGGAAATGTCCGTGTTCCACTTCTGGGAACTTTGGAGAACTTTTTACGGAAAAATGAAAAGTGCTGAGGATAAGAAAGAGGGTGAATGCAGATCCTGCCGAGCATTTCGATGGCCAGAGCTGCTTCATTGTCCCAGGACAGGCGGCTAGGGTGGGCTTGATGTAGCCAAAATAAAAGCACGTGTACAGAAGGGCCTCATTTGGGCTGCACTGTGCCCCCTTTTTTCCGGTGGTTTTTCCCTATATTTTCTTTTGGGGGTTTAGTGGTTTTGAGTGTCACCTTGTGCGCAACTACACAAGGAGAGCCCAGGAAATAGTTTAAGTAAATAAACGAGCATCTGAAAGCCCGCCACAAACAGTTAAAACACAGGGAAGGGCGCCATGGCTTTTGGACGGGAGGGTTAAGGCTATGCCTCAGTGTCTCCATCTGAACTTCGCTTCGCTTCGCTTCGAGTTCCTTGACCCTGGCTGCCTTGTTAAACTCAGATCATGAGAAACAAAACCGGAGCAAAGCCGCCCGAGCGGGGGTTTGTCGATTTCGAGTCAGTCCACGGGTCGATTTTAGCCCCAGGCAGGCGCGGCTGGGGGGCTTGTTGACTGGGGACCTCTCGATTCCCCCGCAATGCTCCTCGAGGCTCGGGTGCCAAATGGCTGGTGGCGGGGAGGCGAGAGGAGCGGCCGAAGAGCCTTCTGCCTCTCCAACTCGAAAACCGTTTACTTTGTTCTCGGCCCCTCCACGTAAAGGCTCCAGCCGAGATTAATGCGATCCAGATGACCCGAACTGTAAACCAGAACACCCCCCTGACAACCGCACCGCGTCCCTACCTCGCCAAAGTCGCCACCACCCAAGAGGATCCCCGAAGCCAAGGGCAGGGAAGGGCCGGGGGAGGGACTACTCTGCGCAGGCCGGGCTGCCCCGGCGGGGAAGCAGCCGCACCGGCGGCGAGGAGGCAGAGATGCCCGCCGTCCCCCAAGCCGGCAGCACCAGCCTTCCAGGAAGAAGGGGGGCTCAACGAAGACGCGGGGCAGGGCCGGCTGCGGCGCCCAGACCCTCGTCTGGAAGCTGCGGTGCCAAGAGAGCTGCCGTCGGCAACCGAGCCGTGCCGTGCCAGGCGCGCCAGCAGCTCAGCGCCCTCGACGGGGCGAGACGTCCTGGGGAGAGGCCACTGCCTGCGGTCCCTGCCGCCTTCCAGGATCGGTCGCCCGGCAGCAGGCTCCCCCCGCCCGCCCGCCCGCCGGCGCGCCTTGCACCTGCTCTTCCCTCCCACGCCGGCCGGCCGGCCAGCCGGCCGGCCGTTCATTCACCTCCACGCTGCTTCCCGACCTCCGGTGGCCTCCCGGGTCCCTGCAGAGCGCGGGACGTCCCGCTGGTGGAGGCCAAAACCCGGCCCGCTCCTCGGGAGCCGGGACAAGGGAAGGCCGCCCTTGATCGAGGCACGACCTCGAGCTCAGAAGTGCTTGCAAACGTTCCCTGCTTTTTTCTTCCCCTGGGAGGTGGGGGAAGGAAAAAAGTTCTTCTTTCTCTTCTGAAAAACAAAAAACCCAAAACAAAACCACGTCTAGATTCTTTCTGTTCTTTCTCCCGATGTGTTTTCTGCCATTTCTTCGCTCCGGATTGTCAGAGGAAGCCACGCCGGGCAACTTCGGAGTGCCCCGCGCTTCAACGAAGTGTGACTTCCTATCACACCGCTGGAGCTTGGGTGCCCAAAAAGTCCTCGTCACTGCGAGGGCTATACCGTCCCACCGCAGATTTACATACCTCTGACTGCCCCGGAAGGCTTCGACTGACCACAACCGAACTCCAGCATTGCATTTTCCCCCAGCCACTGGCTTCTTCGCCGTATGATCGAATTACACACTATTACGATTATGCCAGTCAGTGAGTTTTTCGGATTTTTTCTAGAGTCAAGAGCAGCGTTCACTCTTTGCTTCAGGTCAGCGCTGGTTTACAGAGCGATCCTATGCCTATCTGCGCAGAGGACAGTTCCATGGAGTTCCGTGAGGCTTCCTTACTCCCAGGAAAGGAGCGATGGACTCACAGCCTGAATGACTTGGATTCCTATTAAAATCCCCTTCTTCCCCCGCCTCTCCCGATCTGCGAATACACAGTGCATCAGGGGCCCTGGTTTTATGTATGTTGACAGTTTAAAATAAAATACTTTCAGGGTTATAAAGTTACATGCACACAGCAAGCAGGCAATGTTTCTCTCTCTCAAACGCAAATACACAGAAATATCTTAGCCAGTCTCAAGAGTCTAGAAATCCTCGAATAGAATCGGTCAAAGTGAAGGCAACTACGCAAGGCGGGGACGAGGGGAGTCCCTGGTGTTTTGAATGTGATCCTTTAGATGGGATCAGATTAGTTTGGGACTGTTGGAGGGGAACAAAGAGAAACTGCTCTCAGGAAGGTCACATCAAATTTGCGAAACTACCTCATGCTGCTGGGAATGGACCCGGCGCTTGAGAGATGGACTGGTGTGGGCCTTGGGGTACCTCGGATTCCCTGGGATGAATTAGGACACCGACCAAAACCGGAGAGTGGCGGAGGTATTCGGAATGGGACGGGCTCAATCCCTTCCCAGGGTCGCTTTTCCATTTGCCTACCACGCCGTTTCCCTATATTCGTTCCCGCGCTTGACCTAAAGAGCGCGGCCATGGGTTTGGTTTAACCGAGATGATTCCTGGAAGGTTTGAAAGGGAGGAATGAAGAAAGGAGGGAAGGCGGGCAGAAGGGCAGATGGAAGGAAGCGAGCCCTCCTGGACAAGCCATGCCCTTGGCGAAAGAAGGCGCCCAACGGAGGGGGGCTACGAGTCCAGGCAGAGTTCAGCGGGGCTTCTCTCGCGTGAGGTCGCCGCCCGCCGGCAGAAGGGGCGCCCCGAAAGCGCCCGATCCGTGGTGCAGCAGCGATTCCCTCGCAAGCGGCGCGGCGCGGCGCCGCTCCGGACTGCGCTGGGCGCAGAGCGCGCGGGCCACCCGGGCCGGCAGCGCGCGCGCAGGTGTCCCCCGCTCCGCCCCGCCCGGCTCGGCTCGGCTCGGCTCGCTCACCTCGCGGCTGCGCCTGGTCCGCGAAGCCCGTGGCGGTGTCCGCGGCGCCGCCGCTGCCGGCCTCTCCCTGCGCGGCGCCCGGCAGGAGCGGCTGCTTGCTGCCGGCCAGGCTGCGGTAGAGCGCCAGCATGTAGTCGTGCGGCACGACCGTCGCGTTGCGGAAGGCGCCGCCGCCGCGCCCGCCCAGGCGCCCGCCGCGCGGCGGC